ATTTTAAAAAGAATTTTGAATTTTCTTTTGTGTGTGTAAATCTGTCGATTTTTGTAAATATGGATGTCCATACACAACATTATAAAAATATAAGCACAATAACTAAAATTAGCTATAAGCAAATTTAAAGCCAAAGTATCTAAAATTCAATAAAACATTAGATTACAAAGTATTTTCCCAAATTTTTAATATTACTGGACAGTTAAAAATTATATAAAAAGATGCTCACATTATATTCCACAAGTAATTTTTAAAGATATGTCCCCATAGAAAAATAATTAGATAAACTTCCCACTGTCAGTCAAGCTGTCAACACCTTAAATAAACACCTACCTCCATGTTAAAAAATGCATTTCTGTGATATTTTTAACTAAAAGTAATATTTGTTTAAAATCAGATTAATTAAACTTAATACCGGAAAGTATTTTGCTTATTGTAAAAATTAAATTAAATCTATTAGCTTAATTAAAGCTAAAATAAAAGCTTCAAGAAAGATTTTTCATTTTTTAAAATTCATTTTAACCATTTAGAGGTACCTAAATAGGCCTTGCTTTGTCATGATAGCTTCGTGACCTAATTGGTAAGACACCCTCGTCTTAAAAGTGGTTTCCTCTGATAGAATACAGCTTTTCTTTAGAGGGACTTCATGAACTGTAGGCTAGTTGATGTTAATCTTGCTGTTTAAAATAACAGATGACTACTCAAACACGTATACCCACTAAATATAACATTTATAGTTATAAGAATTAAAAACCATACATTAATTGCTTACAATCCACACAAGCATATTACAACCTTGACACAAATAAAAGAAAAAAAAATATGAAAACCTCTGCAAACTGTATCCACATAATCTTCAGAACTAAGTGTTTACTGTTTATTTTTAAAACTCATGAAAATTAAATCAATTTCTAAAGTGTTTGCACATTAATTAAATGGCTAAACGAAAGACCAGGTATGACGTGGATTTTTCAAGGGAGATAACACTCGAATTCTAAAATAAAAATATGACAAATAGAACTAACACGAAAAGATGATTTACTTTTACTTGCTGCTAAAGTTTCTTTAAGTGACATCTTTATCAGAAATCAAGATAAAATGCTGTAGATTATCTTGTATGAATTTTTATAAGGCTGTATATGCAAAATTGGCGCAAAATAATCTTTTTTCATAAGCTTATCAAAATATTATTTGAATTAACAATGTTATTTTTTTTATACACCCTATGTAAAAATATAACAATTTAGAAACAGATTTCCGTATATATATTTTTTTAATCACAGAATTCACCATAAGGATTTCTAAAATATCACGTGATACTTGATTTAGCGTTCATTAGAATAATAAAAAATTGAAAACTAATTTGAAAACGTTTTAAAATTCAAACGAAAAGAGTGGCTTCCCTTACATTATAATCTCCACTATCGAGATCAAAAGATTATCGGTCCAAAGAGGGTTTGCGGATTAATGTCTTCAGCTTTTTGACCGAGAAAAGCTGCTTAGAAGATTCGGAAATGAATGGGATGGAAATCTAGGAGAGAAAATAAAATCTAAGAGAGGATTATAAAGAAATAGGACAAGGTTTAAAGTGAAGACATTTTGATTTAGCTGAAAAATGGCCATGACCTAAAAGAACAAAATATTCTCTATTCTTTCATGTGAGATCAAATTCACTTACACTTCTCGAAAACAAAACAGAAATAAATTTAAGACTTTGCTTGGTAAGGCTTTTTGATACATGATAAAAAAAAATTGATTTCAAACAGGGAGGGGGCAAAATGTTCCGTCCAATTGTCAATTTCATATGTAAAAAAAACATTCTGTTAACTTCTGTTAGTACTGTGGGACACTCTATAGAATATATTTCCTTAATAATATTTAGCAAGTCAAATTTTCATGATGTGCCAAGTCAAATAGATTTCTAAATACCTCAGTCAACGATAAAGAATTTCTGGTTCTAGTTATACAGTTTACATGAATTACAAGCACTTTTATTTGTTGAGTTTGCTTTTTGAAAAAAGCAGAACGTATTTTTTTTGCATATTTGAAACTTACAAATTAGTTTTATACTTTTATTGCTCTTTCAGTTCGTCTTTTCAAAATCTTTGTTTTTTGTAATCCTTCACATAAGCAGCATAAAATAAACCCATTTTCTTTTTTAACTTTAAATGTTTTTCATTGTAAATATCAAAACCATGTGTTTTCAGCATTTATTTGCTGTATAGTTCACCATTTATCCGTTGTAATCATGTTTAATTTAAACTGAAACATATGTACCTTGGTCTTCTTGATTTTAGTAGGTGGAAATGAACAACATCAAATCAAAGGAACAAATGACTTCCTGGTTTTAAACATCAAATTTTTAATTTAATAAAAATAAATAGCCAATAAAATCAGCTCCCACCAGTAAATAAACACAGGTATCTGGAGCCCACACAAAAACCAAACATTCATTCAACTCTACAGAAGGACTGACAGCAGTAAAGAGACACTAGTCAACCTTGGTGTTTTGTCTTTCACATCAAAGCAACAGCAGACTTGCTTTGATCTTGTCACCCCAACTCCACTTTCTCTCTTCCTCAATGAAAGACTATTCATGTTCTTTTCCTTACAGTCAAAGAGAAGAAGTTTCTAACTTTCATTTCATGATAAGTAATTACAGTTAAAATTTGTGTATTCTACGTTTAAATAAATATTTTATTTGAACATGTCAATCTTCTCTGTCATTTTTTTATTCAAACGGTGACCCAAGGGAATTTTTCTCTAATGAGGGAATAGCAGTTTGGATCCTTTCTTACTTATTGCAAATATAAATTCACCCCAAAAAATCATTAATTTCAAATCAAAATTTGTTTAGCTTGCCTCACAACAACTTCAAGCCTCATAAGTGCAGATGATATTTGAGGTACTTTCAAGGAATTTTTTACAAAAAAAAAAAAATCTGTTTCTGACTTGTTTATTGAAGTGAGCACAAACATTGACCCCACACATAGAAATAGTATACCTGAGTCGCCCACATTTGGGGTGATTGCAAAAGTCAACCCAACCCGGAGTGCAATGGAAGAGCCCTGCTCTTGGAGAATTTGTTGTGAATTTTAGTAAATATAAATTCTTTTTATTTTGGGGTGAATTAACAGAAAAATCCTAGCAGTTTATTTTATGCTGCTTAAGTGATGGATTAGCCACCCCCACCCTCCCACTTTTTTTTCCCCTCATCTATCCTATAAAAAACAAAACAAGAAAAGCCAGGACTATATATATATATATAAGAAAATTAGTAACTAAATAATATTCTATATTTTGAATAAGATGTTTGAAACCCTGCAGTAAAAATGGATGAATCCTAAAAAACATTGTAAATGTTGACAGTTGGCTTTGTAAAAAGTACTTTTGTCCATCACATTCAAAAATGAATGTATGTATAAGAAGAGGGAGGGCCATCATTTCTTTTCCCACTCACAATTTTTAGATGACATATTGTCACTATCCTTATTTTATTACTAGTTCTATTGTTACTCTTTATTAATTCTCTCTGAATAGACAATCTTTTCAAATGCTAGAGCAGACAGTGTTGGAAGCTATTTATTTCTTTCAAATTTGGAACTGCTTGATATATCAGCAGAAGATTGTATATTGACCAATGGTGCTGTGGTTAGCAAGAAGATAGATAAATAAATAATGATAGATGAAAAATTATAGTTTACTAAAAAGATCCATGAAAATTTCATGCTTTTCCTATTTTAATTTTCTGTTGAATCTTAATTCTTCAGTTAATGATTGAATAAGTTCATGGTAAGTTCTTTTACAATAAAATATCTGTTGAAATCCCACTATCACATCATTAAATATTTGAGCTTAACAACTTTAACAAAATATTGTAATAACATCTCTCATAATTCTGCTTGCTCCTCCCTTTGTTATTTCTTTAGTTCACACGACTGTTACGTCCTGCCAATACCTCATAAATAATGGATTGTTCCATTTTGACCATGAAAACACGAAAATGACATATCATAGATGCTACTTGGTTTCAGTCAGAAAATGATAGAAAGAAAGAAAAAAGTGTTTAACAGCTGTTTCAATGAAATAGAAAAAAATTTCAGATCCTTTCATTTGCAGACCCTTACTTATAAATTATTAATAAAAATGTTTGCAAGGCAGGTTTTCAGCTATTAAATATGAATGCTGGCCATTATTTTAATAAGTGGCTACAAATGAAAAGATTTCAAATTTATGAATTTTTCCATTTCACTGAAACAGCCATTAAACACTTCTTTTGTTCCCTTTTTTTAATTCATTTTTTCACTGAAACCAAGTAGTGCCTCTGATATGTGTTTTGTTTTTCCACACAATCAAAATGGAATAGGCCATTTATGAGGTATTGACAGGTCGTGTGAACTAACGAAAGGAGATACAAGCGCCATTATAATATAGAAGATTATTATTATTTTTTTTTTTTTTTCAGGATCAAAATAAAAATTTTTGTTTTGATTCTGCTGTTGATATTTTAATATAAAATGAGTTTGGAAAACTTTTACTTGAACATTTTTGGCCAATGAACCACCATGAACAGAAAAAGAATTTTATTTTATAACAACAGAAATTTAAATTTTTTTTAATGACACCAGTTCATTGGCTAAAACTTTTCCTTATAATAAAGTGATTGATTACTGGGCCTTAAAAAAAAAAAATAAAATTCTAGAAATGTTGAAATTGTTAGTTGTAAATGTAAGTTTTATGTTATTAGTTTCTTTTCCCACTCTTGCTTACAAAACACACATTTGACTTCTTGTCTTCCTGTTAAATTTGATCTTCTGAAACTTAAATGCAATGTCAATGGTCATCTTCTGTCTTCTTCAATTGTGTCCTATTATTGTCCTCCCAGTTTCTTTCCCTCTCACTAACCCCCTTGCATCCTAGTGGCTTTTATTACCTTGTTTGAGGTGAAATGTGGATTAAGAATAAAAGAAAAAAAAAAAAAAAAAGAGAAAGATACTTACATCCAGCTCCAGCAAACATCACAAATAAGACAGGATAGAAAAATCCAAAAGATACTACTAGAACATATTCATGGAAAACAGCAGAGATGAAGAACACACTGGTTAGTCCTACACTTCGCATTTTGGGTCCTAAAATCTGTTAAACACAAAAAAAGAGAGTAAATAAATAAATTATTAAATAAATGGTATGATTTCATAAAATAAATTTTGCTTTTCATTAGTAAAATAAAAGCTATGATATGATTTTATTTTTTTGAAAATATCATTTTTACTTATAAAGAGGACATTATTTTAAAATCACAAAATAAGTACATATGACTTGATAAAGAAACATTTTCTTCTATTCATTGGACCTGGCTTTTTACCTTATAATAGCCTTGGCTATAACAGAAAAAAATATTTTCAAAATGCATTTGAAGGGTTGGAAAGCATTTTTGCAATAATTAGATACAAATGCATTAATTTTTTCCTTAAGAGATTTCTTAAATTATAGATAAATAAAATTAATTAGATATAAAGTAAGTTACTGAGTTATGACAGTCCTGACCCACGACAATTTGTGGTTATGATAGAATCTCCAATAATCTCATTTCGACTCATGTCATTTGCCTTTTACATACAATGCAAAGATACGAGGCACGATGGAGTAATGGATAGTAGTTTGGATTGAGGAATCAGAGAGCTGAGTTCGAATTCCAATCAAATCCATTACATTCACTTACGTGATAATACCCTTGGGAAAGTTATGAATCCTCTTCTTCTCCGCCCCGCTCCCAGCTATGGGTAAATAGCAGGACAGACCAGGTTCTATAGCCTTGGATGGCAACTGGTCTACTGCAGAAAGAAATGGCAACCTACTACAAAAAAATTTTGCCTCGTCAGTCATGTATCAAAAGATACATGATCACCTAAGCGTGTATCACGCATGGCACATAACTGACCGACAGTGCCAGATAATGAGCAAGGTGGTGTGGGTCAGATCCTGGTTGTATGCCCTATTGTTGCTTCTGTGCACTGCAAGAGAGACAACATCTTACGCTTTGTCATCTACCAAGAGCCAATGACATCATTGACAAAAAATTTAAAAGCAACTTAAAAAAACAATTTCATTTCATTTTATGTTCTACATGTGTTTTTGTTCTAATTATGTTAACATATATCATAAAAATGTATTGTTACTTTACAATGGCATTAGCATAGGTGAGGGATGTGAGGGCTTATTTACAAAAAATCGGGGATACGTTTTGTCTTATATGAAAAATTGCGTTACAACGAATCGTAAGAACGGATCTCTGTCGTACGTCGATGACCACCACGGCCATTAAAAACAAGAGCAATAATTCTTTTTGGTGCAAGAAACAAGCAAATCAAGTTGTCTCCCTTGAAAATCAACAAGTCTTAAAATAATCATCTACCTACTTCACAAACCAACAACGCCAAAACTATAGCACTTCCTCGTGGTGCAATGGTCTACAAGCTGAACTAGAATATCATTAGACACGAGTTCGATCCTCACAGGGTGATCCATACTTGTGGCCTTGGCGTGGGGTTAGTGAGTCAGTATCATAGATCATTGTTAAATAAGTCATAGGTTCAGTCCTCATTGGGTGCTCTGTAGCTGTGGCCATGTACAAAAAAAAAAAAAAGCATTTTTGCCACATGATATTTAAGTATTTTTAGAGATATCTCTGTGTAGACTAATGATTAGCAAGTTAGTTTAGTTGAACATTACTATTAAATAATGATACTGATCCTCACTGTGTGCCCTGTACTTGTGGCAAACTAAGCTAAGATAAAGAAATAAATGAGAACAGAAAAAACAAAACATTGAAAATTATCATGGATATAGATATTTGTATACAACTATAATATGTATGTGCAATATAGGGATAAGGTACAGTTATATATATATATATATATATATATATATATATATAAATTGTGTATTTAGGCAGCAAAATCTCTTTTAGTCATGTCTGACTGAATAAATTACAAACATTATGTATGCTTGTTTTTAGCATAATCCATTCATATTCACAGATATTTTTCTAAGTATTACACTCAAGTGATGCAAGAAATGCACTGTAACAGAGAAAATCACTTTTATTTCCCAAATACTTTCCATCTCTTTCTGCACCCCTGATGATGATCTCAGTAAGAAATGGAAAGTATTTGGGAAATAAAAGTGATTTTCACTGTTACAGTGCATTTCTTGCATCACTTGAGAGTAATTCATGGAAAAATATCTGTGAATGTGAATGGATGTTAAAATGTAGACATAATGTTTGTAATATATATATATATATATATATATATATATATATATATATATATATATATATATATATATATATATATAGTGCTACATAAGTAGTAAGTTTTTTTCATGCTTCACTACAATCTTCAGGACACCAGGACATGTATTTGTGCCCAACTATTTATATATGCTGGTCAATGGTCCATTATGGGTAATAAGGTCTATTGTATTATCTTAACAGTTATTAGGTAATGGTTAAGTTTCAAATGATTCTAGAAGCTACTGAGTAGGAATAATTTTGAACCCGAATGCAATTATTTGTAACTATTTTATAGAGTTGTTTGTTAACTTTTTACTCATTATTTAATATTGAATATTATTTGTACATTTAATTGCATTTATACATGAATTTGTAGTTTGTTATTTTGTTTATCATTTACTTAATTTGTTGACTTATTTAGATTTTTTGTTTATTCTATTTTATTTATTTTTATTATTTTTTGAGGGGTTGGATTTGGTTATCTTATTTGTTTAAAGTATTGGTTTTTGTCTAAAGTATGTTATATTATCTGCATTGTTTATAGTGCAATGCACAAGGTATTTGCTTTTGATTTTCAATTTTTAAGTAATGTAGTGAAAATTTGTTTTTGTGTCTACATGAATTCTGATCGTTTATTTAGTAATTTGTATTGATCTGGGAAAGTGATTACAGCTATTTTCTCCTCCAAACAGAGTTTAAAATTTTGAGATTTATAGGTTTGGGCTGATGCTGTTTTCCTTATTTTCCATGATATTTTTGGCGTGATTTGATTTTTATTTATAATTTTCCAGATATGTTTAGAAAGCATTATGCTGTTTGCATATTTACTATTTGTAAAGGATTTTTTACATGGAAATAGCAACTGAGTAGCAGCAAACTTGTGAGATCATGTCTTTGGAAAAAGAGTTACAAGGTACAGAATATGACAAAGTTCTTAAGACTTTATAATATTTACTATGCTAGTGTTAGTAAGACAAGAAAAGATTAAACAAGTGAAGAAACAATGGATAATAATCCTACCATGTAGACATCTTTGTAGATGTAGGTGTAAAGCCAGTCATGTACAACTACGTTCCATGTTCGATAATAATTAGAGAATGTTGTAGAGTTCCACCAATCCTGAAATAAAATTCAAAAAGAAAAAAAATTATTATTTCTTATTAAAAAAAAAAAATGATGATGGAAAAAATGTTGAATATTGCCAGGTTAATATATATTTTAACAATTTGTGGCTTTCTTTGCTCGGCAAAAAAAAAGAGGCAAAAGTTTGGAATAGGCCAGAGTGTATGGGGGAGAAGGTGGTGAAAAACGTTTGAACTGACCCACTTCACAAAATCAGAATTATGTTGCCACTGATGAAGGAAAAAAAAAAAGTTTTTTTTTTTTTTATATTGCGAAGTTCCAATTTGCAAGATCTGAGTGTTTATTTTTTAAAATTTCTTTTCAGATTCTTGATTTAAACACATGAAAGGAAAGTGCAAAATTTTTAAGTGTTGAACTCCAGGCTGTCACAGAATCGCTATTCCTGCATTAGAAAACTGCAAAGGAAATCCTAAAAAGTTTGATGCAAATACAGAACAAAATGCACCTGTCATACGCAACTACAAAGAATTAGCATGCCAAGTTCCAGTGTAAAGATTTCAAAAACCAAGATGCAGAATAGTCTGGGGAACCATCAACGGTTTCAATTCCTGAAGTTGTTGATCATGTTTGTAACCTAATTTTGGCCAATCAACAAATCCGAACCAGAAGAAGAGCTGAAGCACTACAAATATCCTGGAAACTCTAATTGCTCAAAGTAATCAGTAAGAAACAAACAAAAATAATGATCCTCCAACAATGTCTTTCAAAATTAATGCAAATAACAAGAGCTTTTTTAACAACAGTAAAAGCTAATGAAATATATAGGCAGAGGAGTTTTGGATCAAATATAGATTGGAATCTGAGAGAATAAGATGAAGAACAAATGGGAAAAGTTTATCAATCTAACATGTTTTACTTTTATTAAAGCTTTGTCAGAGGATATGTAGAAAAAAAAACAACATACAAATTTTTTTGTTTTTTCTTCATATTTCATTCTCCAATGAAGCTTTAATAAAAGTGAAACATGTTAGATTGATAAATGTTTCCTATTTGTTCTTTATTTTATCATTTATGCATATACAGACGTTAATATATTTTTTAAAAACATATATAGTGATTCTTGCTTCCCACAGTTTCAGTACCTGCAATGAACACCCCCACCCTTCAAAAAGAAAAAAAAATGACCCTTAATTGTAGTGATGCTGGCAATTCAGATATTCTAAGGAGAAGGTGTAAAATGTTTGCTTTAAGTGAAAAAGACCAAAGTTTTTGAAATAATGAAGAAATAACATACTGAGGTTGTTAAGATCTATGATTTGATATGTATGGGTCTATATAATTTAGTAGTAATATATACAGAACTTGTCAACCAAGTGAGTGTCAAAATCTTTGCCTCCTATGTGCCATGTTGCTCTAGAATATGGGTGATCGTGGCTCTCTACAACTTCCTGTCCTTTGTAACTCTTAGCAGTGTTTGTCTTATTTCTATCTCTCCTCATCCCTGCTCTGCTAACCATTGACACAAGCTCCTTCTTCTATGTGCTATGTCCCTTCAGAACATGGGTGATCATGGCTCTCCACAACTTCCTGTCCTTTGTAGCTGTTAGCAGTGTTTGTTTTTTGCTATCTTGCCTAATCCCTGTTCTGCCAACCATTTAAACAAGCCTGTTTTGCTTCTATGTACCATGTACTTTCAGTACATGGGTGGTCCTGACTCTCCACAATTTCCATTTCTTTGTAGCTTTTAATTGTGTCTTTTTGCTATCTCATTTAAACACTGTTCTGCCAAGCTCATTAAGTAGGTTATTCTCTGCTTTCTTCTGTCATCCTGTGAGTGATAAATTCTCCAAGCCATCTTTCCTCATTTTGTGCACTAGAAATTTCAATTGTCCCTTCCTAATGTTAAGTATGTTTCCTTTTAGTTTTTATTTTCTCTAAAACTTTGTCATTGCTTGCATGTTCAGTCCATGGTATTCTCAGCATCCATCTGTAGAACCACATTTCTGTTGTTTCGAGTCTCTTCTTCATCTGCGAAGAAATTATCCAGCATTCACTACCATATAGGAGGACCAATATTACATAACAGTCCAGTACTTTTTCTTTGTTTTTAATGAAATTTTCCTGTTTCTTAATACTTTGCTTAACTTTTTGAATGGATTTTCACTATTCCAATATTCCTTCAGATTTTGGTGTTGCATATTCTGTCCTATGTTAAAACATTTCCTAGATATTGTATCCTCTGTCTTTTCTACAAATACTTCCATGGTAATTGTCTCCGATGAGCTGCTTTCACTGGTTCCCAGACTCCATGAATTCAAGCGCCCTACGAGGCTGGCATCGCGCTCCCACCCTTACACTATAGAAATTTTAAAATGTAGCCGTCTCTTCTACTCCAATAGCTTCATAGCTCGCACCTCTCGCCAGTGGAACACCCTTCCCAATTACTGTTTCCAACTATTCAAATGTAATGTCAATCGACATCTCCAGTTACCTTGATCTACCCACTATCCTTCTCCTCATCCTTTCTTCTATCACTCCCTATCCGCTCTTGCTCCAAATCTCCCGCAACCCCCTGCATCCTAGTGGCTTCACGCCTTGCTTGGGGCGTAATGCTTAAAAAAAAAAAAAAACTTATTTGATTTTGGCAGCTCCAATTTGTAGTTCGCATCTCGGGTGTTTTCTCTTGCTGACAACCATATATTTTCATTTACAAGCTGATTGCCCAGTAGTTCAGTGATCTTGTAATTTTTTAAACAACTTTCCACTGTTGATGAAACATGGCTACACGACTATGTATATAAAATTTAAGCTGCATGGGTGTAAGCATGCATTGAACTTTTAGAGAGAAAGCAGATACTGCATTGGGCTTTTGCTTAATTTTTAAATTTCAAAAATATTTTTGGCACATTTTGATTGTGGCAAAACAGTTGCATTTGTTTTTCATCCAAAACCATTAAAAAGGTTTCCCTCCAAATTCTGAGAAGTGAATTTGGGGCCTACCTGTAGGTTATTTGAGTGGACAGCTTGGATTTGGTTTTTGGTGTTGACAACCATCAGCTTCAGGAATCTAGGTTAACCCAGTCCAGAAAGAAAACAATGAAAAAGAATTTTGACAACCATCAAATGAGAATTGAAAGGAACAACAAAGTCACTCCCATATCAAGGAAAGGTATTCAGCTTGATCTATTCTTCAGTTACCACAAACTTTGCTTCAAAAATCATACCAAATTGTTCTTTAAAAACTATTCAGAGAAGTATTTTCTCTTTTTCTTCACTTTATATAGTTTTATTATCTTCTAAGGACCTTCTTATGCAGCATTATAATTTTAATTGTAAAAAGGTAGGCTTCATTTTCATTGATAATTTACATATATGCTATTGGCCATCATTTGGCACACAAAGCACTTAATTTGTGTAATTTATTTTTTGTGTTAAGAATAAAATTTTTGTCTGTTTTTAAACTCGGCTTGTGTCTTCTGTTGTGTGCCTATATAAATTAATGTCACCTCTGAACTATTTTTTTTAGGGTTTTTTTTACCAAAAAAATCCTATGTCAAACAACAGTTCATGTAGTAGAGGGGAACTCTGGTCCTGCATAGCTGAAGAAATTTAAGATGTAAAAGTGAAAATGAAAGTTCACAGCCATGGTTTTTAGGGATAAGATATTCTAATGGATGTCTTCAGAAGAAGTAAACAGTTAATGTAAAATAATTCTCTAACTTGATGTACTGATTAAAGGAAGCATTGAAAGAAAAATGGCAGGAGAAGCTGCAGAAAGGCGTTCTCCTTTAACTTGTCAAAGCATCTGCTCATAGCGTTAGCAAGAATATGATTATATATGAAAGAATTTGTGGTTTGAGTGAATAAACCAACCACTGAGCTCACAATATCTTGTTCCATCTATTTCCACCAAAACTTAAATGACTTTCGAAAGGGAAGAGATTTTCAAATGACACAGCGATAGCAGCAGCAGAGTAGACCAAGCAAGAGAATTTCTTTTTGAGAAACAATTTCTTTTGAGCTTGCAGAATAATGCTGAGTGTTTACTTGTGGGATTAATATGTGGAATAGCCTGTACTGTCAGGATTCTAGGTCATTCCTTTTTTGGTCAACCAAGAACTTTTCAGCATTCTGTTGTATTGTATGTACCTATCACTAAAGAAATGGATTGGTCATACTCAAGAACTTTTCAGCACCCCATCATGATGTGATTGAGTGTGTGCATTTTACATACATACCAAGTGTAATGGTAAAATTGTCCATCCCACAAAATGTTTAATATCTAAAAAAACACTAAGCTAATTGACTTTCTTTTTCCAGGTTTTCAGATAAGATATTTAGCCATCTTGACACTATTTTTTGTAAGAATCAATGAGAACCCCTTTGAGTTATTCAGCTAAAAAGAGAACAGGTTAAAATTGTTTTTGTGTCAGCCCCAACTGAACAATGGTGAGAGGAAAAAGACCATTCATGCCTTCAGTAATGGTACCAACATTCATACTCTGGCTTCCATCTTCAAAGTACATTAAAGAACCATCAAGAGAACGGTGAATAGGTTTAAAAAAGTGGGAATAGTATAGAGGAAAACTGTATGAGGTCACAACAGCAAGAGGGATCATTATTTCAGCTTAGATATAAAGAGATCAATTAGAAAGGATCCAACTTAATCCATAAAACGTTTGGCACTTGAGAGAGGAGATTCAGCTAAGATAGTCCAAAGAGCAGTGAAAAAAAAGACTTGAAAATAAAATTGTACATGAAATGTGTGAGGCACCTTGTTACTCCAGGACAGAAAGTTAGGTTAAAGAGAGCGAGGTTGATCTTGAATAAGTTGGAAAATGATCCCAGAATATATATATATATATATATATATATATATATATATATATATTTGAACTTAATTTCAATCTTTCATGAGCTTCTGATCGATAACTATGATTAATTAATTATGAAAATGTCATTTTCACTTATGAATGATTTCATCTCAATCGATTTCGTCACAATTTTTCTGTTAAGCTTAGAGAGTAATTATATATTCTTATTGCTCAAAGTAGAGTCCAATTGTGTTATAAAAACTCAGAGAATTCCAGTAAGATACCTTTAATCATTTCTAAGATACAATGGTTCAAAGATTAATCTAACAGTTGGACTATTTTGCTGTTACACCTGGTATGTACCGATCACTAAAAAAAAAAAATGGATTGGTTGTACACAAAGCATTCAGTCACATCACATTCAAACACCAATTATCATACAATCACCAAAGTTGAACAACAACAAGCCTGGTCACTACCTAGATGGATGACTGCTTGGTAATATCAAGTTCTGTAAGCTTGGATGTGTGGGTGGTGTAATGAATAATGGCTCAGAATTGGAAATTGAAGAGCCGAGTTCCAGTTGGGTTTGTTATATTTGCTTATGCTCAAATACCTTTGTACCTGTGACGGCATTCACCCAGTCGGTTAAGCCAACTCCATCAAACAAACTTGCCACATCTGAATCAAAGCTAACCAAGTGTAGTGGGGCTTGTATTCATTCAGACATACAAATCCATAGTAGGAGTTTTAGTAGGAATTTGGATTCACAAGCGGTCCCCAACCACATTAATACACATTTTTTAGGATAGTGTGATCTGGTTTTAATTCAGAGTTGCTTTCTAGACTGGTTGCCACCCAAGGCTACAGGACCCAGTCTGTCCTGCTATTTTACCCATAGGTGGAGGGAGAAGAGAGATTCATACCATTCCCAAGGGTGTTAGCACATAAGTGAAGGTAATAAACTCAACTGGAATTTGAACTTGGCTCCCCAATTCCCCAATCTGAACAGCTAACCATTACCCCACTGTGTCTCTGCAAATACCTTTGGAGAAAGGTATGAAACCATGTCTTTGCCCCCTCCTAGCTATGGGTTAATTACTAGAACTTGTATCAGCAAATCCTTATTATGTCCCCAAAAAATTCTTACAATCTAAAAATATTTTCTAACTTTAAATAACCTCTCAAAAGAGTTCAAGTGTCCAAACAAAATTAAAATGTTAATGATGATTCTCAAAAGTTATAGACAAAAAAGTATTATGGTTAAGAGTTTAATCTCTAAAGGCTCAAACTGAAGCCCGACAATGAACATATGAAGAAATTCAATAATATTCTGCTCTTTCACCTAGCCTAAGGATTCCCTTATAAAACAGGAATTTGGCTATGAACAGGTTTTAAAAGCTAGCAAATATAGTAAAATTTATTTTAAAATAGACAAAAATTTCTGAGATGAAGAGTTATTATTTATAGTTGGACTAATGTCCTCATCTTTCTCATTATCATCACAACATTTTAGCCATTATGCAATTCTTCATGTGTCTGTTTATTCAGGTAAACTTCAAGGAAATTTCAAACTAAACATTTTATTCAGTCTATGGAGATACATTATTCTCCTTATCATGCTGTCAATGTTTAGGGATACCTAGTTTTGGTTAATAGTTCAGTTATCACTTGTCCAGTTTCCATGAAGTCTGACTAAATCTGTTAAAAATAATTTAATGGATTTAATATAAAAATTGCAAGATGTTTTGAAAAGGGGTTTTTATAGTTGTAAATGTTTAAGTAAAATTTTCCCAGTGTGATAATTAGTGTGATAAAACAAAAAAAAATAAAAAAAATAAAATACTAAGTGGAATCTCCAGTTGTATCTGCCTTAAATAAAAAAATAATCTTTAGTTCTTTACCAAAGAATGTAGGAAAAATCTTTTAGAATAAACTTTAGCTTAAACAGGAAAAATGAATAGAAAGCTCAAAGGTTCTACATGTAAAACTTTCAGGAAACTGAAGAGTTCACTTTTAGTCTAAGAGAAATATTACATAAAATAAAGACAGACCTTGTAGAAAAGACGATCTCCAAATCGAAGCATCTCAGCAAAGGCATTTAACCAAGAGTGAAGGATGGCAAAAAAACCTAGTGAAAAAAAATTAAATAAAATAAAATTTTTAAAGATTGGAAAAAAATAAACAAATTAAAAAATATAAATAAATAAATAAAAATAGATAAATTAAAAAAAGAATGAAATTTAAAAAAATATATAAAATTAAATTAAAAAATATATAGCTGAATTTTTTTGTGTTGTATGATTTTAATCAGTAAATAAAACATGGCGTAGGAGTTACAATGAGTTTTGATACTTTATTTAATAAATTATTTTTTAAAAATCCCCAAGATATTTTGAATATTATTATTATCAACAAATATTAATTTTTGACTTCTTTCATTTTAATTTTAGCTGCTTTTTTTCATCACATCTATTCAGACCATTATCTATCATCAAGGGAGATAACTGCCATGTTACTTGAATTTCTTAGATGAAGCATTGACAACCACTAATTTGTAGTATTTCTTTCATCTTAATTTTAGCTGTTTTTTTGATTGTTTGATTTTACAACACGTCTACCAAAATTTGGTTATTTAAAGTTGAATGTTATTATTAGGTGCAGAATTATCAACTTATTAATTTTTTTTTTTTTTTTACTTGTGTTTTTATTTTAATTTTAGTTGATTTTTTATCAAAACTACTCAAACAAATATATAGATATATTATTTTGTGAGTTATTTAAAGTCAAAAAATATTTTGAATTGTAAGAATAATTTCTTTTTCTGTGAGTAAATAATGCATTAACAATTTTTTGAGAATAATGATGATTTTTCCAGATACACGGCCTACTGTTTAATCTATAGTTGGGGAGAAAAGGCTAAGGGAAATAACTGTCAGTAATGTTATTTTACACTCTTTAAGCATTATTATTATTAGTATTTCATAAATGAAAATAAATAAAATAATTAGATAATTAAACAAATAAAATAAATTTCTTAAAGGAAGCATCTGTATTAATATTTTTATTGCTTTTATTTCAGGCGTTTTTATCATAATGTTATTTAGTTGATTTTATGATGTGTCAACTCACTTGGCTATTCAAATGTTGTATTTTACATGAGACACCCAGTGAGGAGCAAACTCACTAATCAAATCAACCATATGCTAGATAATTTTTCTCACCAGAAACTATCTTACATACTTATAAGTCTACCATTCGTCTTTGTTTTGGATATTGATGTCATATCTGGTCTGGTGCTCCTGCTATATTTTTTAGAGATTCTCGGTAAAATCGTAAGAATCTGCAATGTTATTGGTTCTGACCTGGCATCTCAGTTCTAGCCCCTTTCTCAATGCCATAACATAACTTCCCTGTACTTGTTTTATAAATACTTTCATAATAATTGTTCTGAAGAACTTTCTTCTATCGTACCTAGACTTTATGAATTTAAGTGCATTACTACATTGGTGGCAAGTTCTCATTTTACAGTTGCAATGGTTAGATGCAACCATAAGTTCTATGCTAACAGTTTCTTCTATCACACTTCTTGCTTGTGGAACTCTCTTCCGGCTTCTTGCTTCCCAGTCAACTTTGATTTCAAAAATTTAAATTCAATGTCAATCATTATTTGCTGTCTTCTTAATTCTTATTCTTTTATTGTCCTCTCTCCTTAATAGTAGTTTTTCTCATATTCTAACCCCCCAGTAATTTGCATCCTAGTGGCTTTATTGCCTTGCTTGAGGTGAAAGGATTAAAAAAAACAAAAAAAAAAAAACAACAGATTAGCCTTGGTAACCATGATTCCACACCAAGGTTGATAACTTTTGGTTCATTACATAGTCTGGCACAAGATCATAAATGAAGAGCATTCATTGAGATTTAACTTACAATAGTGGTAATGATTCATAAGACTTGCTTATTAATTCCATACTTTTGCAGCATTAGAACAATTTCTTTTTTGTTAAAGAAACAACCCAAGAATAATCTGTAATTGTTAAAAAGGTGTAAAGTTAAGACTTACCAATGAAGAGAACCAAAGTTCCAGGAAGCATGCAGCCAAAGACAGACAGTAGTAGGGCTTTGGGTGTGACATGCTCACGATTAAAATTTCGGAACACTGGAACACAGAACCGTTCAAAGATGTAGTAGGTATAAAAAAGACAAGCCAGAACTTGGGCAAAGTTACTAACAACGTAGTTCCAATGGATCTTCTGAGTGCTGCAAGAAAAAAAAAAAGAAAAATATCGGTGGGGTGCTTTGAGTTCTTTGCTTAATTAATAAAATCTGAATAAATGTCATTTTTTTTTAAGCCTGTCTTAGTCAGGCAAAGAACTTTTCAATACCCAATCTCTCTCTCTCTCTCTCACACACACAAAGATTTTAAAGACTATCTCAATTTACAGAATCAGGCCAAATATTTTTCAATACTCAATCTCTCTCTCTCTTTCACTCTCCTCTTGCATTCAGATTTTAAAGGCCAACTCAATTTACAAAGACTAATACAATTTTGAAAATCTGACCAATCATCATTTTTTGTAAAGCCCTTAGTCAGGCAAAGAACTTTTCAATACCCAATCTCTCTTTTTCTCTCTCTCACACACACAGATTTAAAGTCTAATCTTTTAAGATTTTATACTTAACCAACTATTTTTTTTTTATCCATACAGCTTCCAAATCCAAATTATATTCAAAGCTTTTTATTTCTATGACTTTGCTAAGATATAATTACTCATTCCTACCAAAGTCAGCTTGAGATTTGAATGGGTATATTTAATAATATTTATTTTTAAATGCCATGTCCCTTCAGGACATAGGCAAACATAGCACTCCAGACATTTTTTTTTCTTTATTATCTGGGAATTGCCAATGTCTTCTCAGGAAAGACTAGGAAATGGCTTCCCATCACATTGTCCATGGTTTTAACTTCAGAGTAGTACTTCTCCGAGATCGGCTACCATCCAAAGCTAGAGAGCCCAGTCTACCTTGCTATTTAACCAATAGCTGGTGAGAGAAGAAATGCTTTTCCTAAGAGCATTAGTGAGAAAGTGAATGGAACAGACTAGTCCAGAAATTGAACTTGGCTTGCCAATTCCACTTTCTACAATGCAAATGTTAACAAAGTGGTCTATAATATAAATGTATTATTAATTGTAGGATAGAAACGTGCTGAAAAATCAAGTAAAAAGTGATTGTCAACGCTCAGGAATTAATAACCAGTCATTATTGGGTATTATAATGATTAAATTCAATAAAATTGTGATATTCTGTTAAATTTATTTTGTCCATGGACAAATGAGAGAAATCAAAACTGAATGTCATTCGAAAATAGACTTGAAGATCATTCACAAAGACAAATATTTGCATGCAACCAAGACACATGGAGGGAGCTGGTCATGATGTTGATTACTTGGAAAAAAAAATATTTATCAACAGATAGTTTTGTATTGTTGATTCAGAGCAATAAGCAGGGGAAGGGTCTTACCGGGGGTAGTGATCTCGATAAATTAAAGTTGGAGAAAACAGGAAGTAGAGGTATTTTGAGAAATCAGGACAATTTCCTTCTTCAGTACCTGGAAAAAAAAAAAAAATATATAAATTATTTATCATGAAAACAAGTTTGACGAGCACCATCAATTGTAATTAACTAAATTTGATACCACACCAATAAATATATTTTTGGTACATCATGCTCATCATCAATTAAACAATTTCTTTCTTAGAATGCAAAAAAAAGATTTGCTTCATCTTTATACATCTGTGATCATTTTTTTGTTTTCATTGTAGCAATGTATGACATCCTCCTTGTCGGTCTGTTTGATGTTCGTTCCCTGTGGCTGACTGTTGACTGGATACTTTGACCCAAACCTTGCCTTGCACCACGTTGTGTTCAATTTAGATCACAAGGCTCTCAAGAATCAAATTGTTGACAGAAATTGTTGAATTGGTTTGGTTCAGACAGAGTGAAGTCACAAGTAAAAAAAATAAATAGTATAAAAGAAAATGTTTTATATAATTGTTATAGAGTAGTTTCACAGTGGAGGCTTGTATTTCACTAAGTCGGTCCTAAAAAGGTTCGACGTACAAAACGTTAGGAACTTAATATAACGGTTAATGACGCAGTAATCTAGTTGTGGTGGCTGATACTTTAATGTCCTACATCGACTGACTCACCAACTTACTGAGCTCCCTGGCGACTGCTACTACTACTTATTATATGTGAGAGAGTCTATTAATTATAGAATAGGTGTGTTCCAGTATAACAATAATGTTTCTTGTACAAAGCTGTTAGTACAATTATCAGTTCTTCAGATAGGAATATATATATTCTTCATGTAGAAATATATTTATCATGCAGAGTTATCGACACTGGCCTCTTCGAATATTTCATGACACTTTGTTCGTTGTGACTAAGTCTAGACTTCTGGAATACATCTCAAAGTTGAAGGTCTTCTTCAGGCAGGAAGTCATGAAACTGGGTGAAGCAGTCGTCTCTCGCCTGATGTCTCGGACAATTGTCATTGGTCGCTTCCACTTTCTGCTTATATGGACCTCTGTCCAAAACCAGTGTGGAGTCTGATGGGGGCCTAGGGCTTTGGTAAATACTGTAACTCCTACAAAGAATTCTTTATCATCTGACTCTGGAAAACTAATTGTATAGCGGTAACAGAATATTGATCCATCTTAACTCCTTCCTTCTCATATTGGTACCTCATACCAATACTACCAAAGGGCCATAGGAAATTCCTCCGTCTACTTGATATTAAACCTGAGCCCTTCACTTTTGTTGTCCTTTTGCCAAACTTGATTTTTAGACTGCGTAGATGGTGTTCTTTAGTCAAATTGTCTGACAAGATAATTGGTAAGAAATGTGCGAAAACTAAGATTTGAACTTCTGCAGATGTTAATGCCAAATGGTCTGGTTCTGTCCACACTGACTGACTGCTGCAAATGTACCCCCATAAGGTTAAGCTACAATTTTGGGTGTTTTCAGTCTCACCTACTTCTCAAAATCTAATAAAATATTTTTTTTTTTTTTTAAACTCTGCTTGGTTGAATCAAGAAATTTTCAGCACCCTCTCAAATTTCTGCAGTAAGATATAACCAATTTAGTAAAATACTAATTTCAATCAAAGCTATCATCACCCTGGTGAATGACACAGACCTGAGAGAAAAAAAGGTGAATTGGTAGAGAGTTGAAGTGTTTGTTAAGAATCTTTCAGTTTGTACTTTCAATAATACAAAGGGCAGAAAACACTACAACTAAGGTGAAATGTAAAAGAAAAACAGTACAGGAATTTACAAAAAGATTTGCAGATGAAATCCATGTGAGATGTAAGTTTGTCTAAGATGAATAAAAGATGGATTTCATATTAGGCAAAAAAGTGATCAATGTGAAAAAAGAATTAGTGTGGAGGAAAAGAAAAAAGGGGATCATTGTGGAGGAAAAGAAAAAAAAGAGGGATCATTGTGGAGGAAAAGAAAAAAAGAGGGATCATTGTGGAGGGGAAAAAAGAGGGATGATTGTGGAGACAAAGAAAAAAATGTGATGATTGTGGAGGCAAAGAAAAAAATGTGATGATTGTGGAGGCAAAGAAAAAAATGTGATGATTGTGGAGGCAAAGAAAAAAATGTGATCATTGTGGAGGCAAAGAAAAAAATGTGATCATTGTGGAGGAAAAGAAAAAATGTGATCATTGTGGAGGAACAGAGAAAAGGCGATCAGTCTGGAGGAACAGAGAAAAGGTGGTCATTGCAGAGGAAAAGAAAAAAAGTTGATTGTTGTGGAGGAAAAGAAAAAAAGGCAATCGCTGTAAAGGGAAATGATTGATGTAAAGAGAGAAAAGAGAAGAAAAAGTTACCATCTGTCTTCTTATGCTTTATAACCCGGAACGCACTTTCCCGAACAAAGGAATGAACCTTCATCATTAATCGTAACTAAGAATAGAAAGAAAAAGGTGGAAAATATAAGCATTTAGAAGGAGTCAAAGAAACTTACTTAAATATATACATGGGGGAAAAAAGATGGCTGAGAGAAGAAAGTGAATGAATTAAGAATTTAGCAAACCATTCCTCCATAACTATCTTATTTGATTCATAACAGCAAAAATGTCTTACTCCCAGTGTTTTTTTAACAGGCATCAGTCACAAATATATAGTAGGGAACCATTTTCAATCTGAATCATTTCTCAAAAAGGTCTTACTTTTATTGTCAACTGTAATGGGTATCAACCATATACATGTATTTATCAGGGGTATATAGTGTTTCACTCATGGACCCAGGTTCAAATCTCACCAGGGTCTATTTGTCAGAGAGGTCTGGGAAAATGATCCCAGTGTACAGAACAATCTGAAAGGGCTAGAAAACCACTCCATATTATTCTTTGAGAAATTGAAACCAAAGTCTACTCAGCATAGTTGCAGTATAAACCACAAATTTAATTGGTAGGTGTCGAGCAGGCCTCTGCAAAGAAATTTGCTAGGTGGATGTGCTCAGAAACAAATAGCCATTACATGCATACACCAGCATGAATCCTTTTCTCCCTGTACTCATGGTAAAGAGAAACAGTTTCAATTATACCTGAGGCAGTTTATGTTCATTTATCACTAATGCTTTGGGAAAGGCATGAATCTACTTCTCGTTATGTTAAAAACATATATTTTGTCTCTAGTATGCCACATATGTTTAACAGAGAAGAGAGGGAATGCTTGGGCAAACCATTCTCAAAACTATCTTGCTACTTAACCCTAATCATTCCTAGGGCTGAGGAGAAAGCAGTTTCCTTTGTATCTGCATTGTAGTTAAATATGAAATAATGGTTAAGAAATAAAAATGTTTATCTTCACAATTGTAAGCTGCTTCGATAGTGGAAACTGCAATAGGGTTGACACACATTTTGCAGTCAATAAAGTAAATTATAGATAAAACTTAATAAGATTACAAGATGTTTTTTATTAAAAAATTAACTTGACATAGTTTTTCAATGATCTGGCATAATCAAAAAAAGAATTAAGACTGAATATAATTTACTTAAATAAGGATTAAAAATGCCAAGATCCAAGTCACGATTAATATGTGATGATCAGGCTATTTCAATATCTTCTCTTTTCTTACTAAATTAGTACAAAAACAATGTGGGATATTTAATACACCCCAAATTAAAATTATTTAAAATCTAATTTCTATAACACTACAGTTAATGTAAAACCAAGAATCATACTTGGTCTCTGTAAATTTAACATTCTTACATAATAAAATTTTTCTTTTCTTTTTTTTTTTTTGAGTATGCCAAATCACAGATTCCAAAATGTAGAAATTTTACCTTGACAAAATGATGAAAAAAGTAATCCTCACAGATTTATATTATAATAAACATTAAGTCTATCTACTTACCTGTTCAGTGACAATAATGACTGAAGACGCGGGTGGTAAATTGTGTTCAGACAGGTAAGTGACAGGAAGAACTAAAAATGCTATTTGGTAACTTATGAAAATTCCTAGCCACACAAAATCCATTAAACCTGAAAAGAAAAAAAAAAACAAAAAAAAAAAAAATAGAAAAATCAGTTACTTTTAAAAAAGTACTTTTAGAAATGCTTCTTGAATAAATAACTGATCAATTTTCTTTCATGAAAGTATATTCAGGCAAAAAACAAGAGATAATAATATAGACAGTGAAGTTGGTTAATTTCATGGGACAAAAATCACAATGAAAGATCGGTAATCAGCTGCTGGTTTACGCTAAAGGCAAAATAATGTTCGACACAGGTCTGATTTATAACAAGGACTAAAAAGAAAATATCTTAGGCTCAGTTAACACCAACGACAAAAATAATGGTAGACACTGGCTCAGTTTACATCTGAGGGAAAATAACACCAGAGACAGGCCTGGTTTATGCTAGAGGCAAAATAATGCCACAGGCATGATTTACACCAGAGACAACCTCCGTCCCAAATGTCATTAGACATAGGCCCAGTTAACTCCAGAGCAAAAAAAAAAAAAGGTAAACAGATGTCTGGTTTATACTAGTCTGCAAGGTGGCCTTTTTATGTGGTTTTACCATTCAGCAGAAGATGCAGTCAGCATATTTCAAGCACTGCTAGCAGAACAAAGAGAATGTAAAATACTGAGTACTATGAGAATGTGCCTGTAAAACAGTTATCAGCCTCCAGGGCTTACAAATCATTAATAAGGAAACAACTTTTCTCTGGGAACTCCATATAATGAAGTTCTTATAATCATGTCCAAGTCTGTCAAAGAAGGTTCAAGAGTCATGTCATAATGCCATTTTATTTTATTGTACCAACACCAGATTTCTAGCAAGAGTGTACAAGACTTGCATACTTGCTAACATTTTTAAGGATCTAAGCAATCATAAATATCTGTAATTTCAAATCATATGTTGCTCAAAGTAATTCTTGCTTCTTCATAACCCATTTTATCTTTGCAGTACTTGTTCTGGTATTTATTCAGGCAAACTTGTCAAATAGGTTACTTGATGTCTCCTCAACATTTGTCTTGCATTCAATATACCCTGTGGGTTCTAAGTTCTCTAATTATATATACAACATTATAAGTTCCAAAAATTTCAGCTTTCTGATTGTGAGCCACACATGGTGATCTTTATTTGAGGCCATGTCATAGTGCATCTCTTGTCCAGAAGTGAAGACCAAGCTCAAATCTCATCATTCCACTGAAAGTTTTTTAAGTTTCACTTTGGTTTTGCAGTAGTTTGGTTCTGTAGTTGATTTAAGAAATCTTTACATTTTACATTTAGAATTTGCCTTCAGTTCTGAACAAGAGATTCCCTATAGCATTACCTTAAATAAAGATCACCATGTAGACGTATTTCTTTGTGACTTTAAAAACCTCCTTTCTTACATAGGGGTTTACAGTCACATCATGTTTTAATACTAGTTCCTGTACGATCACCGAAGTTAAGCAATGTCAAGACTGGTCAATGGGTGACTGCTTGGGAATAACAGGTGTTGTACACTTTGATTTGCAGGTGGTGTAATGGATAATGGCTCAGTATTGTTAATTGGAGAACCGAGTTCCAATCTCTGTTTGATTCATTATATTCACTTACATGCAAATACCATTGGCAAAGGTATGAATCCACCTGTTCTCCTACCAGCTATAAGTTAATCAGTAAGACTTTTATCACTAAATCATTATTATCTCAAAAAAAATTCTTATAGTCTAAAAATATTTTCTGGCTTTAAATAACCTGCAAAGGGTTGACAAGCGGTAGAAAACAAATCAATCAATCAATAACTGATTAGCTATATAGGCATGGCTTTTAGATTTATTTACATTATCTGGAATATAAATGTATAGAAATTACAGTGACCACAAAGTGAGGGAACAGTTTATATATTGATTATATTATAGAATTGATCCTGCAGTTTATATCCACAATTTCTTCTTTATCAAATTCTGATTAAGTACGACTCCATCTCTTCTCCCCCCAACTATGGATTAATTAATAAATCTTGTATCACTAAACCTTTATTATCTCAAGAAAAAAATCTTACAATCTAAAAATATTTTCTGGTTTTAAATAACTTGCAAAAGTTGATAAGCCATGAAAATACAAATCAAGCCATATTTCTTGTATACTCTCTCCTTGGCATTTTAAACATTCTTCAGCAAAACTACATCCGATACTTCAAGTCTTCTCTTCACCTGTGAGGAAATTGTTCTGAATTCACTACCATATGAGATTAGATTTTATAGCAATCTTTTCATTGATTAAAAAGGCATATTTTCCTATCTCTTAATACTTTGCTTGGTTTCTGGAAAGCATCTTTTGCTATTCCCCTGTACCTTCAGTTTCTGTTATGATACAACCCAGATAATTAAATTTCCATACCGGCTTCATTTTTACATTCCCATTTTTATGCTCCCACCTTGGGCTGCCTTTTTTGCTAACAACCATGCATTCTACCTTCTCACACTTAATGGTTAATGCTTTTTCCAACTTGAAAAACAATAGTAAATATGTTTTTTTTAATAAAAATATTTACTCTTACCTCATGGGGAGGCAGGAGACAGACAAAACAGTTACATTAATCCTCATATTTAACTGGTTTTCAAAAAAGGTTAAGATTAAATCAATTGCTTTGGCTTAATCTAGCATAAAGCCACAAGAACTGAACACCAAGTAAAAAGCAAATTTGCTATACAGTATTTATAGTCTGCTTGACTAATTCTATAATTATTACCTGACATTGAAGTACCCATCTGTGTCAAATTCTTAGTTTTTATTGCTGGTTTAATCTGTTTTATTAGAAAATAAAAGTGATTTTATGCCATTCACTTTATACAACAATCTTGTTTATTTACATTAATTTTAGCGAACTTTGATCTCCAAAAATTTAAATGTGATGTCAATTGTTATTTACTGTTCTCTTGATTACTCTTCTTTTATTGTTCCCATTCCTTAATAATATTTCTCTTTTTTTTTTTTTACTTATTCTTTCACACTCAGTAACCCCCTTTTGCCTTAGTGGCTTTTCTGGCTTACTTGGGGTGATATGACTATAAGAAAAAAAAAAAAAAAAAAAAAAAAAAAGAGACAATAGTTGGATCTGAAGATATCAGAACAATTCTTTGATCAAAAGAAAACCGATATTTTCTTGTGATCAAAGTTGAATTGCCAATAAATCTGTTCATAAGATATTAGTTTAATTAATGGCAATAAAACTACTTAAAATCTATTAGGATTTTATTTGTTAATCACTATATATTTAATGACCGAGTCCTTTGTTATCTGATAATCCCTGTTTGGGCCTCAATCAGTTGAACAAATTTAATCCGTCTTAAAGTGATATTTGGTGTCATTTTGAAATTAATCCAAAATAACAAAGAATATCGTTCAAATATTTCTTAAGATATAAGACCTGTACCAAATAAAAGAAACATCATCACTTGATAGACTTTTAACGACAGCTAAAATGGATATCATATGTAACTTGATGAGAAAATAATAACATATTCAAGATGTTGATATGCCCCACTATTTCTACATGCTGTGTCCCTTCGGGACATTGGCAATTATGGATCTCCACAATTTCCTGTTCTTTATAGCTCTTAATAAATTTTGCCTTTTTGTTATCTCTCCTAAAACTTGCTCCACCATCCGTTTACTCAAACTCACTAGGTAGTTTATGCATTGTTTCATCTCTCTTGCCTTCAATATTTCCTGTGAGTATCAAATTTTCCAAGCCCTCTTTCCTCATCATGTGCCCTAAAAATTTCAACTGTCTCTTCCTGATGTTAAATATAAGTGTCCTTTTTGTTTACCTTTTCTCTAAAACATCATTATTGTTAAAATGTTTGGCCCATGGTATTCTCAGCATCCTTCTGTAGAACCACATTTCTGTTGTTTCAAGTCTCTTCTTCATCTGTGAGGATTTACTTGATTGTTTTCGGTTAGCGGTATATCAACCCACTTGACCAAAGGGATAGAAAAAAATAAATAAAAAAATTTGAGGGTGAAGTAATAACAAAGTTAGACACTGATGATTTTTGGTTGCTGGTCTATGTTACAAGTCACAGCTGGGATTGAGGAAGTACTGGTCTGCCCTTGGCCAGGGACAGACTGCAGCTCAAGTGTTCTGATGCCACCCAATTGTTAGTTGTTGCTCTGTCAGTTATTTAAAGCCAAAATCTAAATATTTTTAACATAATTTTATACTTTCAGGGTAAAAAAGTTTTTTTAGCTTTATAGTTTGTAGATGATAAAATGAATTGTTGGTAATTTTGCTTAAAAAATGTATTTTTGGTAATTTTGCTAAAAAAACGTACTGTTGGTAATTTTATTATAAAAACGTACTGTTGGTAATTTTATTATAAAAACGTACTGTTGGTAATTTTATTATAAAAACGTACTGTTGATTTTTGTTTGGGGAGTTCACTATTTTCCCATAGCTGGGACCCTAACAGGTGCTCCCACCCCAGATCAGGGTGGACCTGGGAACAACAGCAGTTAAAAGGTAGTTCCATGCTTCTCAAATCTTCCTCAATCTTGCTGCCAGATGTGGTTTATGTTCATACCCAGGTTGAACCACCGATACATATTGCCAACCACATGTTGTGATGGTGTAGTGATCAGATTGTTGGTAGGAGGGAAGAGCTGTTCTTTTAGCCTGACATGGCTGAAGCTGTCTCAAGTGTTACCAACCTATCCAACTAGGCAGAGCAAGCCAAGTCATGAATAAAACACCTATTTTATATGACTGGAAATAGGACTGGAGTCCTCATTTCTCACTGTGGAATTTGTTTTCATCTTTCATTTCCTTGTGAACGTGCAGTGAGCCTTTCCCAGTTTTTGGTGCATGTGGAAATGAACCAGAATACAGATACAATGTGAGACAAACATTGGTTGGTCGATGAAAAAACTGGGTGAGAGTCCTGTTGTAGGTTTGCACTCATTCTTTTTGTTGCTTTAATTGCTACCAAAATGTTTCAACCAACCCATTCTACAGTCTTTTGATTCTTTGCTTTGGTTTGTTTTATGGCATATCAACCTCTATCAGTTATTTAATGCTGACAAGATTTTTATTGCTGCTGACAAGATTTTTATTGCTGCTAATATATTTTTTCCAAAAATGTATTGCTGGTAATTTTTTTTTTCAAAAATTCTATTTTTACACTTTCATAGTTTTGATTCCAGTTTGCAGGTCAACTATTTGCCCATAGCTAGGACCCTAACAGGTGCTACCACCTGGGAACACTAGCAATTAAGAGGTGGTTCCACACTCCTCAAAATCTGATCAGAGGCGTTGCTGTTGGATGTAGTTTATCATCTTACCCAGGACAATTGATTGTTTTCATGTTTGCTACCATTTCAGAGAAAAAAGGTGACCTGTCTTTTCCCTTCTATCTGAAGAGTCGGTGAAGCAACAACAAAAGTCATATACAATTAGCTCAATAATCCAAATAAAGTTAGTTAAAAAAATAAGATTAAAATTAAAGTTGGACAAAATTAGTTGTCCAAATATTTTAAATTTAAAGTAAAATTAAGCCAAGAACTTACGTGAACTGGTGTAGCGCCGAGATGTTGACCAATGATAAAAGCCTGGATAAACTATAAGTAACGTACTTAATTGCATACAGACCCACAGGGCCATAACCTTGGGAAATTTGCCAAATGCCCATTGTATTAAGTCAAAATCAAGGACTAGCCTGAAAGAAAAAGAAATGTAATTTTACAACTGTGTGTCTGCTTGTATGCAAGCTATTATAATATTAAGGGCCTCTATTCAAACATGGGTATACACTAAAAATAATGTTTAAAGTAATATATAAAGAAATATAGTCTTAAGATGTACTATATTTATGGGATAAAGTGCTCAATATCATAGATAGAGTGTGTGTAAATATAAAAAATGAACATAGAAGTCAACACTTAGAGGTGACAGTCTGTTTCATGCTAGATGCAGGTTGCCTGATGATTGCATCTAGCATGAAACAGACTGTCGACTCTAAGTGTTGACTTCTATGTTTGTTTATATATATATATATATTCTCTGTCATGCGCCAACATCTTAGGGGTAAGACCTCTGACTGATGCCAAATCAGTTGAGTTTCAATCCCGACATGAAGAAATCAGATGTCTAGCCACACTGTAATGCTGTGATACAGCGAAATAGTCTCTCTGTGGATAACTATATATATGCTCTCAGAGAGCTGATAGTGCTCTCTGGAGAAAAGGGTAATTTTAAAAACAGTGGCTGCTGCTGCTATTAATGCATTGCTCTTCAAGTACGACTGTCGTATTTCGTATGGAAAACATTAAATTTCCCTTTCTATTTGCCGTGCGTCGACAGCTTAGGGTAGGATCTTTGACTGATGCCAAATTGATCTAGTTTCAAATATCCAGACAAAAAAATCAAATGCAAATCGAAATATGTTTTCTTTGAAATGTGTTATCGTTAACGGGGAGTGTGTAATTTTATATCCATTAACTTTACTAATCTCCTTTTTGTATGAATGATTCATTGTAATATAAATTGAACTGCACCACATATTTATATATATATATATATATATATATATATATATATATATATACACACACAGGGTGATTGAAAAGTAACTTCCTATTTTATGTAGGATGGACTCTCCCATCTAACTATAATTTTTACAAGACAGGAGAGTCCTTCATACATAAAATAGGAAGTTACTTTTCAATCACCCTGTATATGAGAGAAAATGATATATGAATTTTTATATACATAAAAATATATAGTATTATATATATATTAATGTTTATTTGGGCAGCAACCTTTCTTTTAAACATCTTTCATTAAATGTGGCAGACAAGGAAGATTTGATTCATTTTTTTTTATTATTTAGTTTTTCCAGCATCCTTATGTTTTTCCATTTTGTAAAAGTAAGGAAGTACAGAAATTTTCCATAATTTTCATTGTCTCAAGTACTTTCAGCAACTTCTTTAGCCATTTTTAAGTGGGTTTTGCTTTTGATATTGTTAGTTTTTCCTCATCTTTTGACTGTTGTATTTTAATTTTTGTGTTGTTTTTAATAAGAGCATTTATTCCGAGCATTTGCATGTTGAGTGTGGCAGGAATTCACAAGAGCATCATTAAATTTTTAAAAAACTTTTAACACACCATTTCCACTGTTAAATAAGGTAAGGTTGATAGTACAAGAGAAATATTTAATATACAGGGCCTCCTTAATAGTGAGATGTTTCCAGTAATATGATTTATATAAAATTTTAGTGTTTTCAACCAGAATTTTTCTTAACAGTTCTTGTAAATTGTGGGATAATAGATGTTTTCTTTTAGCATTTTGATCTGAGTAGGTTTACTATGTAGATATCATTTAAATTAAAATTTGTATGGTGTAGACATTTTAGCCAATCTACATGCTGTTTATTGTTAGAATGTAAATAAAAGAAAAATTTTTAAACCAAAGTATTTCTTCCTTGTAGATAACAAACCAAAGTAGCACCAAGTATCTTTTCTCTATTTCAAACATTTCATTTTTTAAAGTTTCTATTTTAATTTAAAAAATAAAGTATCAATTCCTTTTTAATTTTAATGTAAATCTGATGAAAACTTATTTTTCTAATTTAAAAATTGATCATCATCTTTCTTTATGTAAACCTCATTCTGTCAGAAAAAAAAATCTCTGTATAACCATATCAGGTATCGACCGATTGAAACAAATACGAGAGACCAGTTGGGGAGATGGATTATATATAATCCTCTTGGGATTATCCAAAATAAAGAAATCTGTTTGATTTGAATAGATTAAGTCCACCAAACACTGAGAGTAAAAAAAAAAAGTAAAACATACAAGATTCTTTTTTTTTTTCTCTCTCTCTCTCTGAATCTCCAAGGTTTACTTACCTGCCTTTATCAATAATATCATAAACAATTGTGTTTAGACTGAATACCAGTAGAATAGCTACAAATATATGATAAATTGTTCGGATGTGGGAAATCTCTAACAGTTCCCTGAAATGAAAAGAAAAAAAATTAGATGGAAAAATAATTGAACAAAATAAAATGGTATTAAAACATTAAACCAATTTTATATATTCTTAGTTTATTTAGACTAACATTCTTGTCTGCTTTTGTTCTTTAAATTACAAATATCTTTAAACCTTTTGCTTTCTACTTTATTATTAGTGTCAAAGAAAAAAATAAACAATGAAAATATTTTGATAATTTTGCAACTGGACTTTAAAAAAAAAATAAAAGAAATATGAAAAACTTTATGTTGCTCTGCATTTTCTTGTCTATGTTGTTCATTTTATGTCAGCTTATGGCAACATCACATTAAAATGCTTGTTCCTTTAGAATCTCCAGAGTTAAGCAACCTTGAAACTGGTCAGTAACTAGAAGGGTGACCACTTGGGAACACTAGGTGCTGTAAACTTGGAAGTGCAGGTAGTATAGCTTATGGTCATATCACATTGAAACAACAGTTCCTGTACAGTCATGAAGTTAAGCAACGTTGAGGCTGGTCAGTACCTAGATAGGTGACTACTTGGGAATACCAGGTGCTATAAGCTTGGATGTGAAGGTAGAAATGGCTTACGGCCACATCATGTAAGCTGGTTCCTGTATGATCATTGAAGTTAAGCAATGTCAAGGCTAGTCAGTACTAGATGGGTGACCAGTTAGGAATACCAGGTGCTGTAAGATTAAATGTGCAGGAGGTATGGCTTACAGCCATATCATATTTAAACAATGGTTTTTGTATGATCACCGAAGTTAAGCAAAACTGAGGCTGGTCAGTAGCTTGATGGGTGACTGCTTGAGAACACTAGGTGATGTAAACTTAGATGTGTGGGTATTATAACTTATAGCCATATCTCATTGAAATGACAGTTCCTGTACAGTCACTGAAGTTAAGCAATATCAAAGTTGGTCAGTACGTAGATGGTTGACCACTTGGGAATACAAAAATATTGCATGAAAATCTAGTGTTGATTCAGTTGAATTTTTAAAAAATTATGTTTTTATTCCATTTTGATGGACACTTCTCAAATTGAAAGTTAAATGCTATCATCCACCATCCTGTGGAGTTGGTACTGTGTCTGTCACCATTATTTTATCACTAATCATTTCTACATTTTTTTTATTTGAGTGGTAAGCAGATTATAGACCGTGTTGCTATCTACTAATTTTGTTCAAACACAAGAAACAATACATGTTTTCTGATACTTACGTTAAGACAGATCGCCGATTAACAAATACTTTATCTGGTAATTCTCCATCTTTCCTCTTGGCTCTGTAAAAATAAAAATAAAAAATATAGTATAATTTCAATAAATGTCATATATTGATGACAAAATATATTTGTGGAGAAAAACTCAATAAAAAAAACTACGGTTCCAGAATAAATCTTCAATAATCATTAAATTAAAAGAACATGACTCATTAAAAATAAAAGTATGATATTTAAATTTAATTCTTATGTCTTTTCTACATCAACTCCAGTGGATCTCAGAGCTCCAAGTCATATTCCTCCCCATTTGATTCCAGGTTACCTCAATTCCTCCCCCATCTTGAATTGTCATCTTGTAATTTTTTTTTTCACTTATGACTTTGTATATAATTGAAATTCCTTCTCAATCCTTCCTTAGCTAAAATTTCTCCCCTTATGATTCCATGTTTCCTCAATTCCTCCCCCATTTTGAATTGTCACCTTGTAATATTTTCATCTTTATGTTTAGAACTTAAACATTTTACAATTTCGGCTTTCTACTAATAAGTCATTCAGCTAAAATTTCTCCCCTTGTGATTCCAAGTTTCCTCAATTCCTCCTCCCATTTCGAATTGTCATCTCATTTTTTTCACCATTTTAAAATTCTTACAAATAACTAATCCAACAAAAATTCTTCTCGTCGCTATTTCAGGTTACCTCAATTTTTTCCTCTTTTTTGGAATTTGATCTGAAATTCTCACTGTATAATGTTAATACTATGTCATTAATGGAGGTGCATTAACAAGAGAGGATATCATGTTGAAAAATAGTGGAAATGCTTTTCTTTTTTTTTTTTCATTACTAAATTCATTCAGAAACATCTAAACTGTCAGCTGTACACGATCACTTTTGCAGATCAATGAGTAAAAATGGCTTTGAGTGAGTGAAGCATGTCGGTCTTGGTGAAAACTATTTTTCTTCAAACCTTGTGGACTGTTGCAATGGAATCATAAAAAACTGTACCAAATAACAGAAAGCACATCACTTGAGGACTTTCAACAGTAGCAACAACTAAAATGAATATCACATGTAACTCAAAGAGAAAATAAAGACATAATCAAGATGTTGACATTCCACACGACTTTAAACAAAAAGTTAGGTAGGAAGCGCCCCATTAATATTGGGAAGAATGATAACAGCTAGTGGACTGTTTTCCTGAAAAATTGGATTAGCAGAAGGATTTTATAAATTTCAACCAATGGTAACACAATGAATACCGAATGCTTCCTTTTAAGGAAACAGCTAATATTTCCATTAAGCTATAGACTTATTGATATATCAACAAGCAAAAAGCCTAATAGAATCTGCATAAACTCTGCCTCTTACATTGTAATGCTCTACCTTGAGTGGCTCTTAGGCCTTGTACAGGACGAACATCATTGTAAAAAAAAAAAAATTGTGGATGTAAACCTGACACTGGACAAAGTGACAATAAGGTTCTCAGCCTGAACCACTTCCTCAGATCTGACTAAAGGACTAAACATTAGAATTTGTTTTACAATACTTTCTTGGCTAAGTCAAGAAATTCTCAGCACCTTGTAAATTCCAGAAAGGATTAATTTCAAATTATAGTTTTTTTTCTTTTTTTTTTTTTTAGAGACTTTTAAGTTTTCGTTTTCTGATATGAACTGCATTATGGGATATAACAGATGGGTAAGTTTTCTTTATTTTTGCCTTCTTCAGACAATTTTCACTTGAAGATATGTGGTGGTGGTTTTCTAAGAGTAGCTTAGATGTGGCATGAGGCTGGCAGTATGGGGCAACCATTGAGAAATGAACAAACTATTCAGTCATAATTGATCTAGCTTGCTAACCATTACACCATATCGAAGTGCCCTCCTCCCACCTTGATGATGATATATGTATGTACTGTTAATTACTTATCAAAAAATCCCATTAGCATTGTGGAAATTATTATCATCTAAGGGTAAGTAAAAAAAATAAAAAAATAAAAATAACTAGCCTAGCAAAGCTTTCCTTGTTCTAGATTAAAACATCCCAGCAAATTTAGCATCTTTGTGAGTAAAATATATCCTGCAATGATTTTAAGCCTTGTTAAAAGATTTTTCTTTATTTCCCCTTTTGCAATGTAGAAATACAGTCTGAGTAGTCATGAAGAGCAACTGGAGTTAAGAAAGAAAATATTAGTCATAAATTTAAATTTGTTAAGTAATATTTATATATATATATATATATATATTACATATTCATGTGAAATTTAGTGTCCTTGTGCCAGATTTAAGTAAATATCTATATTTCAAATTAAAGTCAATGTAAAATATTCTATATTACATATATATTCTGTTTTATATTATTTCAAACTTTGATGTCTGCTATCTTTTATAAAGACGATGTACAATTTGCACTGAGACTGCCAGAAAAGTTTTGAGCTGAATCATTTAAATAGGATTCTCTCAATAAAGTGAAAAAGTTAAAAAAAAAAAAAAAAAAAAAAAAAAAAAAAAAAAAAAAAAAAAAGGTAGTGTGAGAAATGCAAAAAAAATCTATAACGCGTGCAATACACTTTTTACCTGGAGTGATGAAAAAAATTCAAATAATCATTTGGTAAAGATAATTAATTGTAGGTCAGCCTCAAACAATGCCAAAATATTTCACACAAATATTCAATAAAAAAAATTAAAAAAAAAAAACGCAGAAAATTAACTCTTAGTAAATAAAGTGTTAAGTCAGAAATAAAAAAAAAAACAGAAACATAAAAAAAAAATAAAAAACCCAAAAAACAAAACAAAACGCATACAAATTGAATTATCACAGATATCCATTTTTAATGTGTCCTCTGACCTTCTTCAGGTGTGAATGCAGTGGTATAGTAATTGTGAGTTTAATCCCTGATCTGGTTAGTATAGACTCAGACTCCATGGAAATGGGGTAAGCAATAACTACACAGATCTAATTAAGACAAGATACCCCTAGAGACGAACATGCAACAAGAGCAATCTACCCCCATAGATTAAATAAAATGTGCAGAATATGGGGACATATGCTTTTCAAAGACTGGCTTAGTCACACGTTACCACAATGACAATACAATTTACAACTATGGTGTCCCAACCAATTCCACTTGCAATTTATGCAAGAACGTTTTTAATTTATAAACATATGAAGTTATGAAATTAAATTTATTTTCATATATCTAAATTACCTTACACTTAAAAATAATTTAAAAATTTATTGAGGTTTAACTTTTGATCTGAGAAGCCAAAAGTTATGACATTTCTAAAGAAGTTTGGCACCATGTATGACATCCACATGAAAGTTTTGATATGACAAGGCTATTGAAGAACATGATTCAACTTCTTGGGTTAATGTTTTGGTTTGTAGCAACTTGTGGTGTTGGGTGAAACTATCCCTAGCACAGTCTGTTTTATGTTCAATTTCCTTATCTCCTATAGTAAAAATTGTTGTAACTGATCAAGGTATTTGAAGTGTTTAGCATTTAAGAAACGTTTACTTTTAAGTTTTAGTTCTTAGAACACTTGGTAAATGATGTTGAGTTTCTGTTCAAGATCATTCTTAGCATGACTATGAATGCCTATGTCATCAGCATAGACCCATTATCATCAGTACATTGGTCTCGGGAGGGGAAGCAAAACACAAATAAAAATAATGTGTGTGTGTGTGTGTGTGCATCAGATATATATATACATCTTCGCAAAAGCGAATTGAGTCACTGTCGGTCACACTGGGCGTGTTTCTAAAAATAAATACGCTAAAACCCACCTTCATCCCTACCGTGCTAACGGGCTTAATGGTTAGAATCTCCGAATGACACCAATTCAGTCGGGTTTTGATCCTAGCTAGAGGCAACTGGATGTCTAGCCACACTGATGAGCTGTGAAACAGCCAAAACAGTCTGTCTGTGGATGACATTATATATATATATATATATATATATATATATATATATATATATATATATATATATGTATTTGTATACACACACACACACACACACACACGTGTGTGTATATATATATATTACACACATACTGTTTTTTTTTTTTTAATATATGATTATAATATTTATATATATGCACACAAGAGTATGTTGTTATTAATATTAGAAAGGACAATTTGTGAGAAGCAAAATAGTTATACTGACTTCAAATTCCAGCCAAGACTTTCATACACTAATGCCCTTCAGAAAGGCATGAATCTGTTCTCTTCTCCTCCAGCAATGGGTTAAATAGCAGGGCAGATGAGGCTATTTAACCACAGGTGAAAAAGGGCTATTTAAGTTTCAAAACTGAACAAAGCAACAGTAAAAAGAATGCATGGCAATTCCCAGATAACAAAGAAAAGGAATCTGTGAAGAAGACAATGGGAAACCACTCCACCATCTTTTCCAAGAAGTCATGACAAATCATAGATAATAAAAAAAAGGAAGTGGAGAACCATGACCACTGATGTTCTAAAGGGATACGACATAAAATAGAAATATAAACTGTAAAAATTATTCACTAATGTAATATATATATATATATATATATATATATATATATGAGAAAATATATAGAAAATAGGAAGGAACTGGTTAGGTAAATAATCCAAAGTCCCTTAGTATTTTAGTTATTATTTTTAAAAAATAGTGCTCAATACAAAAGTAGAGCATAAATATAATTATTTATTTAAAAATATGACTCCGAATCGCTACATAAGAGGTCTCATGTTTCAAAACAAGAGCCGAAAACTTCAATATAATCCTTTAAATTAAATTGAATTTAAATTAAAATGGGCCCCGTTCCATCTTCAAGCGAAATTTTTCTTGGAATAACGTATATCTGAAATTTACTTGTTTTAAAAATTGAAATCAAAATCTCCATGGTAACAGTAAGGGCGAATTGTTTAAATTGTGTAGGCGAGTGTAGGGTGTTAATAATAAATAGTGGCATAGAGATACTTTCAAGATGTCAAGTCGGGGAAAGGTGGGGGTGTCTAAAATGAAACGGAAGATGTATTAACCTTCGTCTAGTTTGCTTGTCTATGGAGATTTATTTATTTAT